TGTGGGGCCCAAATTTAGCTCACTGGGATGAGCCAAATGGCTGAAATCGGCAGGCCCAGGTTCAAATATGACCATTGCCACATGTCTTCCCCTCTCCAAAACCAAAACATAGACTGTATATTAAAGATGGAAGTAGACATTTATTGTTTAGTTATATTCTGGTCTTGAGCCTAGCCTTTTCACCAGGGGGGCTAAATAAGAGAAACCCTGAGACATTTCAGTTTGATACAACAGAGACCCAAAGCATAGTTTGCTTTTTTGACCCCTCTACTCTAACTGGGACTCAAATAAAAAAAAAATGAACATCATATTCTATTCATTAAGGCTTCAAGCTAGAGACTGAGAGCATGAGAACTTTAGAAAAGTGTTTATTGAGGGTAAGAACATTCATTTTCTCTGGTTGTAAACAGTCTTCTTTGTAACCAGAAGAGTCGCCCTCTGCTGGCCATTAGAAAGAATACAGATTTAACTTACAGGCTTATAGGTTACTGGTATGACATTTTTGATTTCTTCTAGAAGGATACTTTAGTTTTTTACAGTCTTTGTAGACTTCACCCTTTGTGAAGACTATCTTTCCACAGAACCAAAACACACACTGAGTACTTATGCTTGTAAAGAGCAGTAAGTGTTTCTGAGCATGTTGTAAGAAGGAGGCCTTCATTTAGAGTCACTGTAAATTTCTGGGGCTGTAACTATCTGTAAAGCCTTTTGTTTAATAGCAGAGAAATCATAATACATGATGCTGATCTGCAGCTTTGTTGTTTATAAAACAATAGTTGCAATTGTTGAAATAAAGGAAGTTTAGTCTCACTCTGAGTAGAACTAAAACAGTTGTGTCTAGAGTCTTCTATAGTAAACTTGGACAATGGCATGTAAATACTTGCATCAAAATGAATACTTGTGCGCATGGAGCTTCTCGATAAGTATTCCTCCTGAGTGTATATTTCACTTTGTAGCCCCAGTCTACATCTTGTTTCGTCTTCCACAGCTTGTGCACATCTCTGTGATAGCTTACGAGGATCCTTATAAAATTTTATTTTGCACCCGAATCCATAGGTTTGTTTCTTGCCTCTTACGAGTTTGTTCTCCTCATCCGTCACTTGTTCACATCTCACTGAAGCTCAAAAGGCATCGAATAGAGCGGGGTCGTCTACAGGTGAAGCACCCGTGAACAGGCACAGGTGTGGTGTGATTGTGACAGCAGCTACGCATAATAACAATATGCGCGCAGATAGGTTATCATGTTTGAGTTATTCTCCTCTCCTATTTGGTTGTTCTAAGGTACAATGATAGTGGTAGTGATCTCCTTCCATCTCCCTCTTCAACAAGAACTAATGAAAGTCTCCAGCTTCTGGTTTGCTTGGATGGCAGGTTGAGAAGTGTTTTCTGATGATCTTGGACCTACTGGCCCTAACAAACAACGTGCAATTCCTTGACTTTTCTATCATTTCTCATAAGCGACAAAGTGAAGAATTAATGGTGATCCGAATGCAACAAACAAGAGATTCGTTCATGTGGTCATTGGCAACCATTTTGCTCCCATAAGCTCTCCTTTTGCTCTTTGATTCTCATTTTTTTGCAGATCGGTTAGGTCGATTTCAACTCTTGTTTCAAAGTTCTTCACTATAGTTCTTTTAGCAAGACCTACTTTTTCGAGGTCTCCTTCTGCAATTTGTTGGTACTGGTGTGAATTTTCGTTAGTCTAGTCTGTTAATTTTTCGGTTCAGGTCAAACTGAATAGATTAATTGAGTATTAACTTAGACATAAAACACAGGTGTCTTGTCTTAATTTTAGAATATGTGTCCCCTTTAGATCCACGTGTGTTTCTCTTAGACATCATGTTCAGAATCTACCAATTTAAATGGGGTTCTCTTAAATCCAGAATACGCCATGGCCTAGGGAAAGCCTCCATTTCTCCTTTTCTGTGTTGTTGCTTCTTTATAAAAATCGTTCTGCCGATACGCTTTTTAATTAGCTTAACATTCAGACATATATCAACAAAAAACACCCCCCCCCCCAACACAACACACAAACAAAAACAAACCAACAAACAAACAAACAAACACAAACAACAAAAAAAAAAAACACAAAACACAAAAACAAACAAAAAAACAAAAAAACAAACAAACAAACAAACAAACAAACCCCCCCCCCCCCAAAAAAAAAAAACAACAAAAAAAACAACCAAACAAACAAAGATACTACGCACTACATAACGGTGGATGCTCCTATTAAATATGGTCAAACCTTCAAATAATGAGGCCAGGATGTTGAAGAAATCTTTATGAGCCAAACGCTCAGGCTTCAGGCAGCTCTAAATAACACAGTTTATTTCTGCTCTTGTGATATCAGTATGAAGGGATGTCTTGTTTATTCGAATACTGAATAAACTAAGGGGGGCACCAAGGCCTAATATAACATGGAGCTGGAAAACAAGTTAGCTGGTCCCTTTAAGTGATTCTTAAATTATTGTTTGACTTAAAGTCACCTTTTTTTTAATTCATGGTTCTGTTCACGGAGCAGTTTTCACTTTTAACTCTGACACTGTTTTAATTTAGACGAGAGAGAAAACAATTTTTGACTGTTTTAATATTGATGTAATGTGCACATAACCTGCATACTACAGAAAAAATGTCACCCTTCATGATGCCCTATTATAGCCTCTGTTAAAAAACGTGTACGTCTACCATTACAGAACTCAAACTACTACGGTGCTTAAAGACAGCCACAAAGAGCCGTCAGTATGGCTGTAGACTCTTAATCCTGTGAAAGTGATGAGAAGTAATGTCTGTTGTATGAGGATGACATACTAAAATTTAGATTTTGGTTTGTTTTCGTTAATTGTCCTGCGTGGGTCCTCGTTTAAATTAGTGATATAAAAGTCTCAACAATAACGACAAAAGAAATATGCACAATTCACTGCCTGTCTCGTAATTTTTTTAGTTCCCATTCCTCCGAGGAGCATATTAGCAGTGCATGTCTTTCTATCATTCTTTCTCACTCTTCTTTCTTTCCTTTCCACTCTTCCTCCAGAGAACAGCCAATCCAGTGAGCAAGCAGGGAATCGATGCCCTGATACAAGATTCAGCCTAATGAGGATCAGAAACATCTTAATAAAGACCCATAATCCACCACTTAATCCCTCATTACAGAATCATCTGCATTCTCTCGTCCTGCTCCGTACCGCCGCAGCGACAGCACATTCTGGTCCATTGTTCTGCTTCGCCTCATCTCTCACCCAGGGCTACGTCTCCCTTTGTCTCCCTTCGGTGTCAGTTATATTTGATCTGCTCTCATTAGACTTTCAGACGAGGGCCTGAAAATAGTGCTTTTGTGAGCACTTCTATGCTATCTCTTGTCTGAAATGGAAAATGAGACATATGCTTAATGAGGAAAGGATGGACTGGGACCTGC